GGGGGGGGGGCGGGGCAGGGGACAGGGAAGGCAGGGCCTGACAACAATGCAAACTTTGATAAGCAGTTCTTGATAATCACTTTTGAAATCACTTTTCAACAATTATTTGTTATTATTACAATTTAACATTATAAAATTAACAAAAATAATATAAAACTCATATTCTGGTAAAATAGCCACATGGCAGCCAAAAAACGTATATTCCCTTCCTGTTCTCCCGCCTATTGGTGCATTCTTTCCAAAAATCAGGACTTTTTAAAAACGCCACAGAATGGGGGACAAATTGTTAAAAAGCAGGACATCTGGTCACCCTAGCTATAAGTAACCTAGGAAATTATCATGTAAGAATTGGACTGGAAATACATAAATCCTTACACAGGGATAAGACCAAGCTTGCCAGCCTCCTGCAAGAAATGCTATCTTTGTATTTGTTCATAGACTCACTTGAGATAGGTTTTCTCTTTGCTTTGGTTTTATTGTCTACTTGACTTTTGAGTACTAAACATCTAGAAGGCAAAAAAAACCCCAGATTCAAATATTAAAAAACAAAACAGGCTGAGTGTGGTGACACACCTGTAAATCCCAGGAGACTTGGGAGACTGAGGTAGAAGGATCACTTAAAGCCAAAAGTTTGAGACCAGTCTGAGCAACAGAGTGAGACCCTGTCTCTACAAAACCCAGAAAAATGGACTAGCAAACAATACAGTTAAGATGCTAAAGGTAACTCCAAGAAACCAAAGGGCAAGATGTCTGCCTATGCCTTCTTTGTGCAGACATGCAGAGAAGAACATAAGAAGAAAAACCCAGAGGTCCTTGTAAATTTTACAGAATTTTCCAAGAAGTGCTCTGAAAGGTGGAAGGCAATGTCTGGGAAAGAGAAGTCTAAATTTGATGACAAAGGTGGATAAAGTCCACTATGATCGGGAAATGAAGGATTATGTACCCACTAAAGGAGCAAAGAAGAAGGACCCGATTGCTCCCAAGAGGCCACTGTCTGGATTTTTCCTCTTCTGTTCAGAATTCTGCCCCACGATCAAGTCTACAAATCCTGGTATCTCTATTGGAGATGTGGCAAAAAAGCTGGGTGAGATGTGGAATAACTTAAGTGACAGTGAAAAGGAGCCTTACAAGGCAGCCAAGCTGAAGGAGAAGTATGAGAAGGATGTCGCTGACTGTAAGTCTAAACAAGGAAAGTTTGATGGTGCAAAGGGTCCCACTAAAGTTGCCATGGAAAAGGTGGAAGAGGAAGATGAAGAGGATGAAGATGAATAAAAACCTGTTTATCTATCCAAAAATACCACAAAAAACAAAAATTAGCTGGGCATGGTGGCTTGCACCTATAGACACAGTTAATTGGGAGGCTAAGGAAGGAGGAATACTTGAGCCCACGACTATGACTGCAGTGAGATACAATGAAGCCACTGCACTCACCTTGGGCAATGAAGTAAGAGCAAGACATTGTAAAACAAAAAACAGGGTAGGCCAAGGTAAGTAAAAGGGAAGAAGTTAAAAAGGAGTTCAAAGAACAATGTTAAGGCCATAGAAAATTGGAGATTAGTTCCTCTTTTCATCATAAAAGTATCCTCTGTTCTTCCCCAAACAGACTTAGGCTGGCTACATAGTTGATTCTAAATTGCACAATTTATGGATTCCTCTGTAAGAGTTTACTGGGAATTATTTATCAACCCTAATTTGTTATTGTTCAAATTGAAACAGATCAATGCAAAAAGTCACGATTATGATAAACACATAACTACTGAAAAATATTAAGTCAAAAATAATATAATGAAAGCAAACAACTCTGAGCAAATTTCCTGCGGCAAGAACAGCTCTAGGGCCTCCCAGTGATCCCCTTTGGGGCTTACCGGATTTGAGGTGATGGACAGCACCTTAGATTGTGGCACTCTCGGCAACACCAAAGGGTGTGGTTCACTCAGCACACAGGGACTCTCTGAATCCGGTCTGGTTATTGCAACATTACTCTCATCATCTGGGCAAAGGAATAAAGTCTATTATTCATGGATATTTTCTGATGCACAGCAACAATACTGTGAAAAAAAACTCCCTTGAGAATTCATAATCTCGAGGCTTCACTCATTTTTGAAGCCCAATTTCATATCATCTGCATGGTTCAAAAGCACCTCTCAAAACAAGAGTAGGTTTCCCAGGCTGGTGATGCCTACTGGTGCCTGGCAGAAGGAAGAGCAAAGATCTCTAGAGCAAAGCTGTCTGTCAGAACCTTTGGAGTTAATGGAAATGTTTTACATCTGTGCTGTAAAAAATGGTAACCAGTAGCCACATGTCTGTAAAGAGCACACTTAAAATGTAGCTAGTGACTAAAGAACTGAATTTTTTTACTTAATTTCAATTTTAACTTAAATGGCCAATCATGGCTAGTGACTATTCTATTAGATGTTTTATCTCCAGGGGAACCTTCAGATCATTAATCCAGACCTCAATTCTCACAGGTAAAGTTACATGATTGAAAGTCTATTAAAAATCACATAATCTACAAAGAAGGCACCTTGGAAAAGGGTAAGCAGAACAACATAATCAGATCAGCAAATGCTTCAGAAACTGGGGGGAAAGGGGGGGAGGAGGAAGGAGGATTGATAAACTCTTACCTAATGGGCACAAGGTAAGGGTATACACACACTCCCTGGGTGAAGGGCTCAACTACAACTTGAACTTTAACCAATGCAAACAATGTAACCTAATCATTTGTATCCTCATATTAATCTGAAATAAAAATATTACCTAAAGTGAAAAACTCAAAGGTGGGTTAACAGCAGAAATAGTGGACTAGAGCAAAAAGATCTGAAGAAATTATCCTGAATTCAAGAGAAACAATGAGATGAAAAATACGAACTGAACATTTTTTTAAAGTTTTACTTGGGCTCAGCGCCCGTAGGTCAGTGAGTAGGGCGCCAGCCACATACACTGAAGGTGGCAGGTTCGAGCCTGGGCCTGCTAAATAACGACACTGCAACCAAGAAAATAGCCAGGCGTTGTGGTGAGCGCCTGTAGTCCCAGCTACTTAGGAGGCTGAGGCAAGAGAATTGCTTAAGCCCAAGACTTTGAGATTGCTGTGAGCTGTGATGCCACAGCACTCTACCAAGGGCGACACTGTAAGACTGTCTCAAAAAAATAAAAATAAAAAAATAAAAGTTTTACTGTGTGTAAATTATACCTTGATTGTGAAATTAAGAAAATGCAGAAAATAAAATCAGAAGAAAACACCCTTTTACACAATGACAAAAAATTAAACATTGAAGAGCAGTGAATGTTGAGACTGTAAACACAGGAACTTGTATACTGTTAGTGATTACATAAACTATTAACAATCACTTTGAACAATTTGATATAATTAGTAAAGTTGAAGGTGCAGGTTCCCTGTGATCCAGCAATTCTACTCCTCAGTACATACCCTAAAGAAACTCCTACACATGTGTACAGGAGAAATGTTCAAGAATCTTCACAACATCACTGGTTACAATTGCCAAACACTGAATTTTAGTATTTGTAAAACATTGGGATTTTTAACACTTCTCACCATCATTTATGGATTCAAGACCAAACTCGAGAAATCATGTTTCTGAGAAAAACTAATATGCACTCTTTTGGTCTTCATTGTTTATAAATCACTTCCATTAGCACCATTTGGTTTACTACTATAGATTCCTTTAGAGAATGTACATCTTTTCCTAAGAAAAATGACGAGTGAAACTTGTTTCCCCATTAGCAAATTAGGATCAAAAATGATCATAATAAAAAATAATCACTTTTTGTTTAGACTTTAAAACTATCTTGATTAAAGATTAAAATGATGGCTGGGCACCAAGGCCTGTAATCCTAGCACTTTGGGAGGCCAAGGTCGAAGATTACTTGAGGCTGGGATGTCAAGACCAAACTGGGCAACATAGCAAGATTTCATCTCTTCAAAAATAAAAATAAAGATAAAAGATTATAAAATAAAAATAACAAGTTACAAAGAAATGATTACATTTACTCAGAGTTTTATACACTTTGGGGCTACTGCTTACAATTTTAACCCAAGTTATCCTTTGTAGCCCTATTGCGTACACTGTACACTAGTATGCAATTTGGCTTTCTTCCTCACATAGAAGTAGAAAAACTCACTCTGCTTTGTGCCACCACCTGTCAGTTTGCTCCAGCAATAAACAACTAAATGCCCATCAACCCAGGAATGGATTAACATGCTATGGTATATTTATATCGTGGAATACTATTCAGCCATTAAAAAAGACAAAGACTTGGGAGGCACCTGTGGCTCAGTGGGTAGGGTGCCGGACCCATATACTGAGGGTGGAGGGTTTGCACTTGGCCCCGGACAAACCGCAACAAAAAAATAGCTGGGCGTTGTGGTGGGCGCCTGTAGTCCCAGCTGCTTGGGAGGCTGAGGCAAGAGAATCACCTAAGCCCAGGAGTTGGAGGTTGCTGTGAGCTGTGACAACACAGCACTCTACCAAGGGTGATAAAATGAGACTCTGTCTCAAAAAAAAAAAAGAGAGAGAGACAAAGACTTTACATCTTTTGTATTAACCTGGATAGAGCTGAAACACATTCTCCTTAGTAAAGTATCACAGGAATGGAGAAACAAGAATCCAATGTACTCAATTCTAATATGAAGCCAGCAAATGATACCCACATAAGAGAAAAAAATCACTTCAAGGTAGGGGAAGGGTGAACAAGGTAGTTGGGAGGAGACAAGGGAGAGGGGATGGAAGGTTACAATGTATGGCAGACCTTTTGGGGAGGGATACAACTATAAGAGGGACTTTACCTAACAAATGCAAGCAGTATAACCTAATTCTTTTTTTTTTTCTTTGAGACAGAGTCTATGTTGCCCTTGGTAGAGTGCCATGGCATCATAGCTCACAGCATCCTCAGACTCTTGGGCTTAAGTGATTCTCTTTCCTCAGCCTCCCAAGTAGCTGAGAGTACAGGTGCCCACCACAACACTCAACTATTTTTTTTGTCGCAGTTGTCATTACTGTTTAGCTGGCCAGGCACCGGGTTCAAACCCATCAGCCTGGGTGTATGTGGCTGGTGCCATAACCACTGTACTACAGGTGCTGAGCCTAACCTAATTCTTTGTACCCTCAATGAACCCCAAACCAAAAAGAGAAAAAAAGAAAAAAGAAATTCAGCCCTTGGCTGGGCACAGTGGTTCACGCCTATAATCTTAGCACTCTGGGAGGCCAAGAGACAGGTGGATTGCTTGAGCTCAGGAATTCAAGACCAGCCTGAGCAAGAGTGAGACTGTCTCTACTAACAACAGAAAAACTAGCTGGGCATGGTGGTATACATCTGTAGTCCCAGCTACTTGGAAGGCTAAGGCAAGAGGATTTCTTGAATCCAAGAGTTTGAGGTTGCTGTGAGCTTTGTGCATACCTTGGTACTGTATCCAGGGTGAAAGAGTGAGACTAAGAAGGAAGGAATGGCTTGGTGCCTGTAGCTCAGCCGGTAGGGTGCCAGCACATACACTGGAACTGGTCAGTTCGAATCCAGCCCAGGCCTGCCAAGCAACAATGACAACTACAACCAATAAATAGCCGGGCGTTGTGGTGGGCATCTGGAGTCCCAGCTACTTGGGAGGCTGAGGCAAGAAAATTGCTTAAGCCCAAGAGTTGGAGGTTGCTGTGAGCTGTGACGCCATGACACTCTACCGAGGGTGACATAATGAGACTCTATCTCAAAACAAACAAACAAACAAACAAAAAACCTCTTGGGCTTAAGTGAAAAAAAAAAAAAGAAGAAGGAAGGGAGAGAGGAAAGGAGAGAGGAAATTCAGCCCTTAATAAAGTAAAATTCACAATATCTGAAACCTAATCAAAGATTACAAGACAGAAAATTAATCATAATAAAGACAATTTCAATAACTGAAACTAACCTAGAATTCATGTAGATGTTCAAGTTATTCCACATTTAAAAAAATTAAATAGAGACATGGAAGATATACTAGTTCCCAAAATCCTATTTTAAAATGAAATGACAGTATCTGAGATGAAAATTACACTAGATGAGCTTAACAGTAGATTTAATATTGCAGAAGATTAATGAACTTTAAGGCACAAAAATAGAAATTATCTAGAATGAAATACACAGAGAAAAAATACTGAAAAAAAATTTTAAGCATTGATTATCAGAGGAATTAGTGATCAAATGGGCTAATTTATGGGTAACTGGAGTCCTGACAAATGACAGGGGACAGAAAATGTGTCTGAAGAAATGATGTCTGGATACTTTTCAAATAATAAGTCCACAGATCCATGAAGTTCAACAAACTCCAGGCAGAAGAAACATGAAGAAAACTACATTAAAGCACATCATAATCAAATTGCTAAAAATCAGTGCTAAAGACAAAATCTTAACAGCAGCCAGACCAAAAAAAAGACATATAGGAACAAAGATAAGGATAACACCAGATATCGTTTCAGAAACCAAGCAACAAGAAAATGGACATCTTTAAAGTACTAGGAGACAAACTGTCAACACAGAATTCATAAAACTACCTTGTAAAAATGAAAGCAAAGTAATTATCATATCTACAAAAGAAACAATTCCTCACCAGCAGAAACATGCGCAAGAAATGTTAAAGGACGTATTTTAGGCTGATAGAAACTCATAAAGGTTTTACTAAGATTCATATTACAAAAAGTTCACCATTTTAAAGTATACAATTCAGTGGTTTTGGCACATTCACGATGTCGTACAATCATCACCATTATGTAATTTTGAAAAATTTCCATTGCTCCAAAAGAAATGCTTTACCTCCCAGTTTCCCTCTTCTTCCATCCCCTGGCAACCACTAAACTACTTTCTGTCTCTATGGCTTTGCCTATTCTGGATATTTCATATGAATGGAATCATATAATATGTGGCCCTTTGTGTCTGACATTACTCTCAAGGTTTATCCATGTTGTAACATGTATCAATACTGAATTCCTTTTATGGATAAATAATATT